GTGGCTGGGCTCATCCCCACCTCCTCTCACTTCCCCAGTGAGAGTCCTGGCAGGATGTCATCATCATTCACACACCGTGAGGCGGGGGACGAGCACCGGGACAGTGAGCCATGAAGCCTAGAGTCCACCTCTAGCTCGGCCCCTCACTCTCCAGGTGATCCTCACCTGACCTCGGTTTCCTCACCTGTAGGAGGAGGAAGATGATCCTGGCCCTGTCTGCCTTGTAGGGCGGCTTCAAGATAATTTATGGGGAGGTGTTTGTAAACATTTAAGATAATGTTATGATTAATTAACCACTGCCAGGAGGAAGCCCTTTGGGGCCTGTTTTATTGAAGAAACCAAGCTTCTGTAATTAACAGTATTATTTGCATCCTAACCATTACTGGGGCAAAGTCTCTCCTCTAGAGTAGGCAAACCATGGCCAACCCAACGCAGTTTCCTAAGTTCCTCTAAGCAGATATGGGAAGTCAGCGTGTTCAGTGCAAGCAGTTAGCAATTCTACATCAGCGGAACAATTCATGCCACCGTGTCTTTGCACAAGTTGTTTCTACTGACAGGAGGGGTACCTATCCCTCCTTCTCCACAGGGCAGACTTCCCTTCAAGGTCTAGCAAGGCTGCCAACTCCTCCGAAGCCTTTTCCATCTCTCCCATCGCCCCCACCCCAGCTCCATAGTACTTTGGAGTCTTCCATAAATATACCCCAGCTTTTTCCAAGGTGTCTCCCCAGGTCCGTCTGCCTTTTGAGGGCAAGGACAGGGCCCAGCTCACCTCTGCCTCCCAAGCCCAGCACAGGACCAGGCACAGACCACGTACTATGCAAGCTCTGTGAGGGTCAGGATTTGCCTGTTTTGTTCACACCTATATCACTTCCAAGGAGCCTTGGTGGCGCAATGGTTTAAGTGCTTGGCTGCTAACAAAAAGGTTGGCAGTTCAAACCCACCAGCGACTCCATAGGAGAAAAGACCTGGCAATCTGTTCCTCTAAAGATTACAGCCTAGGAAAACTTATGCGGCAGTTATACCCAGTCCTATAGGGTCCCTATGAGTCGGAATCTACTTGACAGGCACACACAACGACTATTGCTCCGCACCGTCTAGCACAAAATGTAGCACAGAACGGGATGCTCAGTAAGGCTTAGCTGAATGAGAGTGCCGGCAGCATTGAATCACTGCCATCCTAGGACAATGTCTTCAGTGCCTACTGAGGCGTGTTATCCGCCTTGCCCTGTTACTACACATTGGCTCTGAGCTGCACGTTCATTTCTTACCATTGTGTCCTCCCATTCCCATTTCTTAGTTTATCACTTCTAATCTGCTCCTGGCTGGAAGAACTACAGCCAGGCTTGTTAGAAGTGTTCTTAAAGTGCTAAAGTAAACAGACTGAGTGCCTGAGTGCTTGCCCCAGAAACACTGCTAGATCCAGTGTGTGTGCTTGTGCCCTCTCAATTCTCGTCACTACTGAGTTTCGCTCCTCAGAGGCGGTCCTCAAAGGTCTGAAGTGACCTTTGGACAGGTGCCCACAGTGCTCCTGCTGTTTACAACCTCAGCTGGGCTCTCTGCTGCCCACCCACCGGTCCTTCTTTGAGAACCTAGTCTGCTGCTCTTCCCATTTTCACACCAGTTCTAACCTTTCACCTATTTCTGATAAAATGGGAGACCACAGAATTGGAGAACTTCATTCTAGATTTGTCCACATCCTCAATCTTAGATGAAGTATCTTAGACCCTTCCTGGTCAAATGCAACCCCTCTCTCTCACACTTCCTGCCTCCTTGAGAATCATCCCCCCTCACTTCCTTATCTCCACCTTCTCCTCTTCTGCTGATTCCTTACATGTTTAAAAATGAAGTTTCATATTTAAAAAAAATCCTGACATACAACCCCTCCAGCTACCACCACCTCTTTCCTCCTCGCTCCACAAGTCTCTTGGCGGGCTGTCTCCACTCTTCCTCATCTCCCTCTCACTCTTCAGCCCATTGCAATTGGGTTTCCACCCACATGGCTCCACTTCTGGCCTTTGCCACCATCAAGGTCAACATTGCGTCCTTTGCGTTCAGCAACATGGAGGTGGTTTGTCCAGCTCAATCTCTGAGGCATTTGACGACATTCCTTCACTTCATTCATCAACCCACGATTTACTGAGTGCCTATTACTATGGACAGGCATTGATCTAGGTACCAGTTGCCATTGAGTTGACTCTGACTCATGGAGACCCCATGTCAGAGTAGAACTGTGCTTCATAGGGTTTTCAGTAGCAGATTTTTCAGAAGTAGATCACGAGGCCTTTCTTCTGAGGTGTCTCTGAGTAAACTCAAACCACCAACCTTTCAGTTAGCAGCCAAGCACATTAACCATTTGTACCACCCAGGGACTCCCACCAATGATGAAGTAGTGAACAAACTAGACAAAAGCCCTTGCCCTACGGAGCTTACATTCTCCCTTTGTCTTGAAAAGTTCTTTTCTGCTGCTTTTAGAGATCCAGCTCCCCTCCTCCTACCTACGACCCTCTTCTATGCAGACCTTCTTCTACCCAGTAGGAATGTTCTTTGGGAGCTTGAGCCTTCCTCTTTTTATTCCAGTCTCCCTAGGACATCTTCATCCACTCCTATTTAGATACCAGTACCCAACTCCCAAGCCTTTCCTCCAGCCTGACTACTCTGCTAAGAAAGACACACACATCCAGGTGCCTCCTGTTCGTTTCCAGCTGTGTCCCACCTCAATTCCTGCACATCCTTCAGGTACCTATCAGCTCTGCCCACACTGCTCCTCCTTCGTAACCCACAAATCCTCTCTCTCTCGTCCTTATACTGAATTGATTACCAAACCCTGTCCATTTTTCCTACTGAGGGTTTGTTTTCACACCTCTATTGCAACACAGCTTTCTCACTAATTTTCCTGTCTCTATTCTCACAGTTTCAGACACATTCCACCTCACCAGTTGCCTGAATCATTTTCCAAAGATGCAAATTTGATCATATCTTTCCTCTTCAACGGCTCCCTGTTGTCCTCATTCTGAAGTCCACATTCACTAGCTCAGTCTCCGTGCTTGTCCTCACATGCCCATTCTGATTATGCCATGCCCTGTGGGTGGTTGGGGTTTTGTAGATCAAATGTATTTACAAGGCCCTTCATGGTGGGGCTCTGGCTTACCTGGTTGGCCTCCCCAACCTTCCCTCTCCTTCCGTTACCCTACTGACACACCAAACTATTCACCCTTTACCGAATGCCAGGCTTTCTCTCCTCTGGGCATTTTGTACCTGCCTTTGTGGCATCCTCATCTCCCCACCCCCAGACTGTGTCTCTGGAAAACACTCTCCATCCTGACCATGAATCCTGGCTTAGAATCCTACTTCTGTCCTTAACTCATTATGTGTTCACTGTCGAGATATCGCTTAATCTAGTAGTTCTCAACCTTGGCTGCATATTAGAATCACTTGGGGAGCTTTAAAAATTCAATGCCCAAACAGCACCCCAGATCTGGGGTGTCCACAGGATCTCAGCACGCGATCAAGGTAGAGAACTTGACCTTCCTTGAATTCTTTAAGAATTCCCAGAGGGAGCCAGCTCTGAGGCACACACCTTGGCAAGAGCTGTTCAGAGCACTTAGCAAAAGCAGGGCTTGGGATTGCTCCAGGCATGGGCCCAAGGTCACCATTTCAGGCGAGTCTGGAAAAGTCACGAGTCTGGAAAAGTCACCTCCGCTGCAGCTGAGGATGACTCAGCAGGCCAGGCCTTCCTGGTGACCTGCTCCCCAGCACTGGGCGTGGCCCCCATAGCCACCCTCCACCTGTCTGGAGGAGGTCCAGGTCTGCCTCTGACACTGCCCAGCTCCCCTAGACAGGTGCCTGATCCTCAGGAGCCAGCCACACTCACTTTCCAGCCTCAACTGTCTGGACAACATACGTGGTCTGGACAGGAGGACTTTTGCTCTCATTCTGTCCTCCCTGGGAAGGTACAGATTTCTAAATTGATGAGGCCCAGAGAAGCTGGTTAGGAAGACAGGCTGAGGTTGTGGCAGCAACTTAGTTTGGCTTATGACTCCACCATTCACCAGCTATACAACTTTGACCTGTTGTCCATGTCATCTGCCTGAGCTTCAGTTTCCGGGTCTATAAAATGCAAATCTCCATCCGGCCTCATAAACCTCTATAAAATGCCTGGCATAGAGGAGGGGTCAGTAAGAGTTTCCTTTCCTGCCCCTCCCCCATTTCCCTCTTCTCTCCTCCATAAAGCAAGTTAAGTGGGCTGGGCTGGAGGTGATTGCCGGGGTCCCTTCCAGTCCTAACATTCAGGTGAACAAGTGAGGGCAGATCCAGGATGCGTTCTGGGGAGAAGGAAGTTAAGCATAGACCTCCACCTCCTGCAGTTCCCTGGGGCAAGATGCAGTCTTTGCTTTGACTGGCACAGGGCCTCCAGAGGAGGCACTTCAACGTAGACCTGGATGCCTCACAAGGGAGTGTGCTCCTGTCTGGATGGCTGTGAGCACAGGTTCCAGGACCACCGGGCAGGCATGGGCTCCAAGGAAGGCTGGTATTAGATACCTGGGAGACTCTGGCCAGGTTTCTTTTCTCTGGACACTTTCTCCATCTGCAAAATGGGAGTGGTGATCGTTGTCTGCCTGCCTTACAGGGTTGCAGGGAACATCAAGTGAGATTACCAACAGGAAAGCTCTTCGTAGGCCCCAGAATACCCTGTAAACATGGCATCATTATGCCGAGCATTGCTTAGATTATCCAATGGAGTGTCTGTTTTGGGCGGGAGGTTGATCAGGATGACCTATGGCCCTGTGCTTCTGTGAGCACTGATGGTCTAGGATTCTTCAGCCTCAAGATTCCAAGGCCAGAAGCTAAGTGTCTCTGACTCGCTCAGGGCCAGAAAACTGGCTAGTGAGGCAGATAGTGAGTTGACGTCCATGGTGAGTACCCATCAGGGGGCAGCTTGAGTGTGTGGTGTGCAGTGGAGTGAGCGTGTGTTGACTAACAAAGGATGGCAGAGCACTCACCTTCTGGGGGGCGTTGATGACTCCAGTGTTGTAACCAAACTGTAGGGAGCCAAGTACTGCCCCTCCCACAGCCAGCATGAGGCGACCCGTCAGCTTCTGCAGAGAGAAAAACAGACTGTCACAGGCATGTCTGGGCCCAGCTTACTACAGGGCAAGACCCGGGCTGGCAGGTTCTCATGTTTTAGATATCTCGCCTGACTCTTGGCACCATGCCTGTCTTTCTCCCAGGAAACGTGGCCACTCCTGACCTCAGGTACCTGAACCAGCACTGCCGACTTCTAGACACTGGGCTGGCCGGACTTCTTCCTGGGGGATGGGGAGTTAGGGTCTTCCCTCTGCAGTCAGGTCTTGGCTACGAAGGGAGAGGATTTAGCACTCTGGGGGGGTCTCATTCCCCCGGTGGAACCATGGCTCGGGTCCAGGTGGCTCCAGACCCTTTGACCGGGAGGCCCAGGAGACAAACCCTCCATGTGATGTACTTCAGTCAGCCAAATTATGTGGTAGGAGCATCATAGATGGGGAGAAATGCTGTGGACTTGGACCCAAGGGTGCTGGCTTCTAATTCTAGCTTACCTGCCAAATTGTTGTGAATTCCAAAAGGCCTAGTCACTCCCCTTATCACCCCCCTTTGCCCCTCCATTTTCTTATCTGCAAAATGGGACTGGTCATGCTGTCGGCACTGTAGATGTGGCCCCCCTCCCCTTCACAGGCCAGGAGACTGAGCCCTGGGAGGCAGAGATAAGCTCTAGACCACTCAGAGGTCTGTGGCAGGGCCAGGGCTGGAACCTAGTGCCCCTTACAGGAACAACCTCATACCTTGATCTTCCCAGGGTTATGTGGACACAGATGGCATACCAGCGAGGAATGTGCTTTAGAAAAGAACATGACACAAGGCGAATAAGGGGGTCGGGCCAAGGTGTTTCCAATGGGCAAAGCGCTGGGGAGAAAAAGGACAGTGGGCTTCTGTCTCCTGGAGACTGAGTGTATGAAGGCAGCAGGGAGGGCCCTATTTACACAAAGATAAGAGAAAGGTGAGCAAGGCGTTCTGCCTTGCTCGAGGAAGGTAGAGAAATCTTTTTCTGGCTTTTAAAATGAGGAAGCTAAGAAATGTGGCACGAGGCAGGCCTTCCACTGGTGTGGGAGAATGGAGCCAGGGGAGGCATGCCAAAGAATTGACTGCCATTTATTTACTACGTACACCACACAGGCTGGACAGCAAGGTCGGGCAAGGGGGAGCACAGCATCCTGAGCTGCAACGTGTGGAGGAGAGAATCCCAACTTGCCCATGGCCTTGTTGTGGGCCTCAGTTTCCCTACCTAACCCAGGGGCAGCCCTGACTTCAAGATCCTCACAGATAGCACCAGGCTTGGCTGTTAATCAGATGCTTCTGGTCTTTTCATTCTCTAGAAGCTGTCAGGACAGCAGTTGCAAAAGCCAAGGTTCTCACATCAGAGGCTGAGAAAGAGGAAGAAGCTCCGGCCCTGCTGGGTGCACAAGCTCTGGGTCTTCCCACACTGGTTCACCTGGCCCTTCCCTGGCTAAACTTGGGGCATTCATCCTAGGTGCTGGGGCTTCCCTCCTGCCTGGCTGCATTCCCTCCTAATCCTGCCCTTCACGGTCCAGCTCAGAAGACACCTCCCTCCCCGACCAAGTCTCCCTTCTCTCAGCTCCACGGGGAAACTTCAGACCCTGGGCCATCGGTTCTGAGTGTGTGGTGAGCACCTGCCAAACCTTCCCGGGTAGGCTCTGGCCAAGCACTAGGTTTACAGCAGACAGGCCCTTAAGCCAACCTCGGAGGGCGATGGCTGGGACTGAATAAGAGGTTGCACGTCCAGCACTAAGCAAGGCAGGAGGGCTCAGCAAACAGTGGCTGTTGAACCGCCACCAGGTGCCGGCCCGTCTGCCTGGTGAGATACATGTGTTAGCCTGGTGATGTCCAGAATGTGGTATGAATGGTACACAAGATGTGTATTTTTCTAACACAGTACACACTAGAATAAATATAAAACTGGCAATGCAGACCTATGATTTAATAAAATGCAGGCTATCTATATAACAGAATACACAGAAGAGAATACGTTCCTTTATTGATGTGGATACTCTCCAAGTTAAAATGTAAGTTAAAAGCAAGCTTCAGAGCAATGTGTGTTGTATGCTGCCTTTTGTGTAACAAACTAAAAAAAAATTGGCTGTAGCTGGGGAGATAAATCTACTTATTTACTTAAAAGAATGTACATTGTGCTTTGGGGCTGGGAAGGGAGACTTCATTCTATACCCTCTTGCACTTCTTTGAGTTTTGAACCATGTGAATGTATCACCTATTCAAAGTACATTTTTTTACAAGCCCATGATTTCATATTACTTCAGATGAAGCAATTTAAGTAACATTAAATGAAAAACAATGCAGATGCTATGTGAATATGGCAGAACTCGCGTTGGTGGCACACGAATCAATGTGTCTCTGGGAGAGGTAAGTACTGTTACTACGGCCCTGATTTAAGTCTTGCTGTGACGTTCCAGGGGTCTTTGGGCCTCTGAAGTCAGCCCTGGGTCCCGGACTCAGTGACTGCTCAACTGTAGCCTCTGGCAGTGGGACTGACAAGGGCAAATCCCTCTGCTGGACTTTGCCATTGGCAGGTCAAGGTCAAACTCTGCTTTAAAAAACCTGCCTACCCACCCACCCAGGCAGGCTGCTGCATTCGGACTCACTAACTCAGTGACCTGTGCTCAAGGCCCTGTGCTAGAGCTGGGGCCCCGGGTGAAATAGGACCCAGTCCTGACATAAAGGCAGAGAGAGGCTTCTAGTTTAGTGAGGAGGCAGCGGCAGACAAAGAGAAGCTAGTATGGTCTGGGCTTCCACAGAGGGGTAGTATGAGGCACTGGTGTGTGTGTTCGGGGGTGGAGGTGGGGGTGAGGGCCTGAAGGGAGAGATTTCTAATTGTGGCTGGGAACAATCAAAGATAGGTTTTCAGGAGGTGACACTGGAGGTGGACCGTGAAGAACATGCAGGGAGTCTGCCAAGTGGGGAAGCAATGGCAAGACTGCATTCCAGGTAAACAGAACAGTATGTGCAGAGGGAAGAAGAGGGGACAAGGCTAGATTAAGAAACAGGGTGCACCGTGAGGCTTGATGCTAGATAAGGGGGTAGTGGGGCCCCTACCCCTTGGCAGGCATGTCACACATCCATGTTCCCACCTCCCACCCCCACTGCAAGTACCCTCCTAGCTTAGAATCAGGAGACCCAGGTTCAAATGCAGTTAGCTGCTTACTTTCTACCTTGGAGCTGGAATATGTGGCAACCCTGTCCCTGGGACTCAGTTTCCTCACATAGGAAATGAGGATAAAAGTTCCTGCCCTAAAGGGTTGCTGTCAAGTTCTGTATCGAGTGCCCATCATGGAGCCTGGCAGAGTTCACTCATCAAGGTTTGTTGAATCAGAGAACAGGAAGCTATCCTCAATCAGGCCACCTTGGCACTGTCTGAAACTCGGTGATGAAGTCCATTCATTCAACACTATATTTATAATGAATTAGAGAAGGGGTACAAATCCTACAGTTGTGACTTTCTTATAGAAATCTTTTTGGAAGTGAGGGAGCAATGTAGAGCCCAGAATTTGGGACCCCCAGCAATCCATCACCATCACCACCCCTGGGAACGGGGCTACCTTCTAGAACATTCCATGCTCTCACTGTGCCCTCTACAGTCTCCAACTTCTGCTCCAAGTAGTCAGGAATACCTATCTGACCCTCTCATCCACTAGACTGGGAACTTACAGGACCTATGTCTTACTTGTCTGCAGGGTAAGGTGCAGCACAGAACAGTTGTAAAACAAATAAAACCACCACTTCTCCATTTAGCTTTTGGGCAAAACTGGCTCTGTGTGAATCTGTTTGCCAGAATGTTGTTCATCCTAATAGATTTTAACCCAGCCACTTATCAAATCCCTGGTAAGTACTGTAACATCACTTAAGAGGTAGAAAAAAGGTAACAGCACTCTCCCTCAACCCACACCCCCACTGCCCAGGGCTGTAGGGAAGAGACCTCTAAAGTCAGACAGACCCGGAGTTCAAATCCTGACTCTTCCAGCAGTGCTACAGGCATCTCAATTCGGCAAACACTTGGGCTCAGGGTCCAGCACAGAAGAGGATCTCCCAGCCCCAGCCTCACCATCCCTAACCCAATTCTGGGGGTCCAGAGGCTCACTGAGAGCTGTCCCCCTCCCAGGAAACCCTTGATGAACTGTCAGCTTTGGGGGCCTTCCCTCCCACACAATGGGATGCATGATGGCCCTGGCCATGTTGCATAATTTGCCCAGCACCATGCATGGCTTTTTGACCCACGCCGGTGTGCCCTTCCTTGGCACAGCACCCCAGGCCCAGGCTGGGCCTGCAGCAGGCCCTTGGTCAACACTGGCAGAGGGAGGGCATGACCCTCTGTGTCATTCAGAGACAGAGCATTCTCTGCGGGAGGAGGGTCCAGGAGTTGGCATTATCCAGATGACCCTTCATCTCTTCCTCCTCCCACAGCTTCCTACATGGCCTCCCACGGTGCACTGGCACATGGGACATGGGGCTTTGTAACTGCTTGGTCCATGGTTCTAAAGAGGGTAGGAGTAGGGGGTGAAATAGGGGTTTACTTGAACCAGGATAGCTCCCTTTTTATTATGGGTTAAGTTTTCTTTTGTCTAAGATTTCATTTGAACAAAGGTCTGGGCATTAAAAAGAAAAGCTCAAGAAGTTTGGAATTGCTATAACGTCCTCATTTGATAGATGGGGAGGGTGAGATCAGAGAGCAGGGGCCCAGGATACTCAGTAAACAAAAGCCAGGGCTAGACCTTAAGTTCTTTGGATTCCTAGCCTGGCGTTTTACCCCCTGACCCCTTTCATCCTGCCAAGTCTTTTCAGAAAGAAGAATGATGGGTTAACTGCCTGAAGCCCGACCTTTGGGTGACCTCAGGTATTTCCTCCCCTTGAGCCCATGTCCTTCAGGACTGCCAGCGGGGTCAAGACTCCTGCATGGCTGAGTCTCCCCTGCGGCCCACGGCGGGCCTGGAGGCAGAGGGTGCCCATGAATCTTTAAACCAGAGATGAGACGAAG